TATTCAATAAGTCTCTATTATTTGATATTATTAACAATTATTTATAAATTCAATAAAATGTATAAATATTTCATTATTTATGTTCATTAATAGCTGCATCAATTAAACAAAAAGTAAAAAACTATATTTATTTTATTCGTGTTTCGTTTTGTCAATAATTAAAAAAATCATTGTCTTTTAACATTGTTGACGAAGCAATTTTAAATTAAAATTCATATAAATATAAAAAAAATATATAATAATTTGTTTATATAATTATTTTATATTTATATTTCATTTATTTTATTATAAATATATAAAAATTTGTTATTTTATTTTTTATATGATTCTTTATTCGTTGATAGCTGCATCATTTCAACAGTAAGTTTCAAATATTATATTTTTATATTATATACATTATATTATATTTTAAATAAATATTTATATAAATTTAAAAATATATAAAAATTGTATATTCATTGATAGCTGCATCATTACAACAAAGAATGTTAAAATAAAAATTTATAATTATATTATTTTTAAATTCAATAAATATTGTGAATATATATTATAAAACCAGTTATACTGAGGCATTATTTACTGAATCTATATTATTCTTTCCGGCCATATGGATGAGATTTTTAAGGTGCAAGTATGTGGTGGCTTTTCAGTAAATTAAAATCAGTTCAGGTCACATATAAATCCCATATTGAATCTAAAGTTTTGTGCTGTGATTTATTAATAATTTTGGTGCACGTCCCACTTGGCGCCGTCTGAAAGACAACAGCTTCGCATTTCATAACTCATTTACGTCTCTGCACGTGTCGACAATCCAAGTGTGACAACGCAGGCATATGTGGGCCTCGCCTGTCCGCCGCTGCCACTTTTCAGTGGGCACAGCGCGTCTGACCGAATCCAAAGCACACAGACGGAAACGCAGAGCGGCCAAGGAGCAGGCATCATGCCGACAGTTACAAACAAACAAAGACGCATCATGGCCTAGCTTTTCGGGCTGGGCAATCAATCCAAATGATATACACATTTCAGACTGCGGCTCAGCTCTCGACGGACTTGGGCCGATGTTTGCTTAGCTGCCAGGGCAAACAGCTACCCAAGTTTGATGTATTTGACATATAGACTATACATCAGTCCTTTGCCAGTCCAGGCCTCGTTTTTTATATGGTCAGGCCAGTGCGCTTGTGGCCTAACGCAATATGTCTCAGTCGGCCGCAGGTTACGTGCCGTATGAGCTGAGTGGGAGTGCGTGTTTATCTGGCACATGGCTTCCCAGTGGATTAGCTATTGATATTTGATCGGCCTGCTGGGCCCAGTCGCATTATGCCAGTGTCATGTTGTTTCTCTGATCTAAATTATGTTCCAGCACATTATGAATTTATATATGAAATATGCTAATATGAACTCCCAGCCCCAGCTCCAGTCCCAGTGCCTCTCGAAATCTCTGCCTGCAAACACAAATATTTAAAATGCATTAAAATGTTCACAAAAACAAGCCGCCCATCATGACACTATGACATTTACTTAATTTAATTAAATGCTACACAGCTGCCACATTTGTGACCATTTAGCTAACTGGCAAATTGGCACAGAGTCATGATTAGACTCCTGGCTCGCATCTAATTAAAATAATGAGCTCATGTTGTTGCTTTGGTTGTTGCCTTGGCTGCTGCTGTTGCCATTACATTTGGCGTCATTATTTTAGGGGGGGCGTGACGTTGTCCGGCCGCCGCTCAAGCAGTGCGTAACAAAAAGCGCATAAAACAGTAGAATTTACAGCCAGAAAGAGTCCTTCTTAATGTGCCATGGCGACCGCTGCATACGCCACCAAGCAGGACGACACCAGACACCGACACTGCCTCGGCACTGCCTCGCCACTGCCTCGACTATGAATATTTTGATGTCTCTTTTGGGCTGAGGGCAAACTGAGTCCGGCGGCTTTTGGCTTCAGTTCAAGCGTTTAGTTATTGTGGCTTTTAAGAGCTTCCGTTTCGTCACGCATAACGCTTTCAAATGACACGAACATCAAAATCATCAACATTCCCCGGCGCAAGGACACGACACAGGATATGCTCAGTATGTGTCTGCATCTATTAAGTGACGGCCTCATATACAAGCTGGACAATGTACGCGTGTGTGTGTGTGTGTGTGCGTGTGTGCGTGTGAGTGGATCCATGTATGACTAAGCACTTTGGTCTGTGAGGCCAATGACTAAGGTATTTCATGTGCCACGTTGGCCCAACATCTGAATGATGCCATCCCAACCGGACGGCGTCGCGACGTGCCTTCCCAGGGCTTACATGGCGTATGCGTTACGTTTATGAGCTTGTTCTTATGGCAATTGACATCAGCGCCGACTGTGTAGCAGCGACACGGCATTCAATTTAATGTGGAGCGCAGAGAGCGTCATTTTGGACTGGCCAGCGAGTGGGCCAGTCGGGCGATCGCCGCGACACAGAATAAATAAACCATTTATGTAATTACCCGAACAGCCGCAGCGCTTAATTGAATGTTTTATTATTGTTTGAGTGTCTGGTGTTGAATTTTTTTGCATTTGTGTGTTTTTTTTCCGCTTTTTTACATTTTATTCATTTATTTGCACAGCGCAAATCGCCACAAATCTGCACGCAGAGTCCGACCCGCGAATCACAGTTGTAATAATATTAGCAGAGCTCCAGCAATAACAACACCGACAGCAGCAGCAACAGCAACAGCTTGGCTTAAGCGCTCGCAAATATTATGGTAAATAAATTGTTGGGTAAACATCATAAACACGCTTAATAAGTTGGTAACTTAATTACCAAAGCAAACAACAATATGCAAATACGCAGCCAGAGCCACTTCAATCGACGACTGCCAGTCCGCAGTCCGACTCGAAAGTTCGCACAGTTGATGTGGATTTCGAGTAAGTTTTAGGTTGTTTAAACAGCATTGCGCTGCTGCGTACAGCCCTTATCCAATTGATACTTTACGCTCCCATAGGTAAACAACAAACATAATTCCAACTTGTTTTGTTATCTGCCGAGTTGCTGCTTTTGTTTTCGTATAATGGGAGAGTAAATAAGGAAAAGACTAACTCAATACTCGACTGACTATATGTATATGATATGGCATATGGCAGAGCTGCGCAGTCCGAGTGAAAGTGGCGTCGATTCATGCTTATGCCAATAAGCTGCTACACATTCTGCCATATTCCATTTCAGTGTGTTTCACTGCGAGCTTGGCCTAATAGAACATTTGATATTTCAGACATTGCAGCAAAGAAAACGCTCCTCACACACACACACACGCACACGTCTATATCTGATACTCTGACTCGCTGATGTCAGTTGCCGTTGCTGCTGTGTGTGTGTGAGTGTGAGCCAGAGGGAAATATAGTGAAAATATAGCAAACTGAGGAGAAACGTTTTCGTACAATTCACTGACAGCCAGGCTCGCCAGCTGCTGACGAACGGACAGACGGACAGACAGACAGAAATTTTTGACATTCGATTTAAATATTTCAATATTCGATATTTCATGAATTTCAATTTCACGCTGACAACTTGCGAGGCGATGCGATTTATAGTTGGAGCGCTGACAAATGCAATATTGCACTCAGATTGCTGGCTTAGCGACTCGAGAGCAACTGAGCTTAAATATTTCACTAAAATCATAATCCCAAGTCTGATCGACTCAGGGCCGGCTGCAAAGCGGCTTAAAGCACGCTCTGCCTTGAGCCGCATTTATGCATGTTTAACAGCAGATTTTGGAAAACAAAGCAAATCGAAAGGCAAATGCAATCTAATAATGCGTCCAATTACGTGCGATTTAAATACTTACTAATATCTTAAGCAGTGCGGTATTATCGGCTCCTGAATGGGCATTGCTGTCAAGTGCTGGGCAGATGGATGGATGAAGGTCTTGGCCATAATTTATGAAGCAGGAGTCGCAGCCGAGCACTGACTAAGCACAAGGCGACAAATTTACAGTTTCAAGAACATAATTAATTGATTAATTAACACGGAAGATGATTAATGTTCCGCAAGCAGCCGCCCATATTGATGGCCCACTATTTGCACAGCAAATCGCATACACAACGGTAATACACAATGCACAATACAATAACAATGGCCGGCTACAGTCGTGCACATCTGTATATGGCCACAGGCGCAGCCACGTGTGACTTTCTTTCGACAGGAGTGAACATGAAACTGCCAAGTAATGTAATTATTGCAGAACTATTCATCATGTTTGGTGTCGGGTGGCTGGCACTTAAACGCTTCGCATCCTCTGAGGTCTGTCAAATGCTTCGTATGGGTAACGCCGGAGCCGGAGCCGGAGCCGGAGCCGACCCTTTGCACCCGGACGCAGGAGACGCCGACATTTGTGCGCTTTTGTTGTACATAAAATACGTTACGGTTACGGCTACGGCTGGCAGCCAACTATGCGAGAGGTTAACTAATTAGCATGTCAAAGCCATCCATTTCGCCCATCTCGCCCATCTCGCAGCTGCCCGGTAATCCGTTGCGCAATCATACGAACACAGCCCCCTTGTCAAGCGGCTGCCCAGGGCGGCGCTGAGTTCAGTAACCCAAGGCGCAAATCCCATTTAATTATGCTCTTACATTCATAAACCTTGCACATATTATAAAATAACCGAGCCCATTTACAAGCACATCACTCGAAGCCTAAGCACCCGCCGCACGTATCTATTCGAATTTGTTGTGCCGTGGCTCAAGGCCAAAATCCAATTTGCTGTCAATGCCATTAAGGGGACCTATGAGATTGGTAGTCGTTAAACGGAATGGTCGGGCTTAAAACAAAATTTCAAATTACTTGGAGTAAATTACTTACTCGGAATCACTAACAGAAAACTCTCACTGTGTGTGTGCGTGTGTGTGTGTGTAAGTTTTTCAAAGGAAATGTCTTTTATGTCCAGAATCTGATCTAGCTGAAGTAATTTATTGTTGGTTTGCTGCAACAGATTGCAGGATACTACAGATAGATATACTTGGAGCTGAGCCTTATCGTTGGCCGCGCTTGCTCTTGTAGATCGATGGATGACGATGTCGATTCTGTGATCCATAGACGTGGCTCCGATGCTTGTAGAAGCCAACCTTGCCCTTCTTTCGAATGCAACGTCTGCCCTTGCCCAGTACCTCGTAGGGGCGACACTTGCGGTAGGTAGTGAGCAGCCTGCCCGGCAGGAACGAATACTTTCTCTTCCGATTATGGCCGATAACTTTCTGCAGAATCTCATTAACATCTTCAGCATTGCCGCTGCCCCCTTGCGTAGCACCAGCTGCTCCGGTATTACCTTCCAGTTCACCTACGGGCAAGTGTCGCCCTTCTGATTTCTCCGAACGTTTATCACCTGGATCCGTCCCCGCATCGCCATTCAGAACCTCCTCCTTGTCTTCTGTTTGGGGTATGGCCTCCTTGGTGTTGTAAATCCGTTTGCCATAGAGATAGTTCGGCAATACAGCCGCGCGCGGAGCGTCGCTGTCGCGCAGCTTCGTCCCCAGTGGCTCACAGCCTAACATCGTCTGTACCTCATTGATTGCGCACTGGATTTCCTCCGTATTATTGTTGTTCCAGTTACGGAGGACGATATTCTTCATGTATGCCTTGCGATTGACGCAGCCCTTGTTGACGGTGAATACCTCATTGGGCTTGCACTCCGTGAAGGGCACATTGACCAGCCTCGTGTCTTCTTTCTCTGTGGTGTTTGCTTTATTACCTGGCTTTGGAGCACCTTTACTCGGTTGAAGCGGGGGCTCCGGATGGTTTGGATCCGGCAGCTCCTCCACTGCCAGAGTTGAGCCCACCATTACGAGTAAGGGCAGAAGATATCGCATGATTTTCGCTTCAGGTATTGCCACTGACTGAACTGATCTCAGACAAACTCTTGCCACTTAGTGGCGTTGCGAATCCCTCGGCCATGCCGTGTAATTAGCGTCGCCATGAAATGTCATCACAGATGCCAAGGCGAATCAATTACGTGCGGATTCGACTTATTTACCATGCGGCACGCCCGCACGCAGCAGCTAGTTGTTATTGTTCGCTCTGCAATCTCAATTTCTCTTACAATAAATTTAATGCTTTACGTTGCCAATTCCGAAACGTTTATATCACATAAAAAAGCGATAAATAAGCGTCGCATCCTGTGCGACGACGTCCAGAAAAGGAGAACAACAACTACAACAACGGCGGCAGGATAAGTCTCTCCTGCAACTGCTGCTGCTGCTGCTGCTGCTGCTGTGGTTGCTGTTTATATGATTGTAGTAGTAGTAGTTGTTGTTGTTGTTATTGCATTGTGCAGTTACAGCTTTGAGTACTTATAGCGCAAAGCGATGGAAAGGCGAAGAGTAGATGCTGCCCAGGTAAGACCTGCGCTGGCTTAAAGCGGGCGACGTGAACTAGAAAAGGAAGAGCAGAGGAGAAACTAAGGGCGCCGCGCTTAAAAACAAAATGCCGCAGTCCGAGAACAACAATGAATAAAAGCACAGCTGGGCAAGGGAAGTCGCAGATCCATTGAAGGCAATGACAAAGGCAGCTCCTGTTGCAGCAGCACCTCGACGCTGCTTATGTCGTTTGCAATCACCCACCTGCCGCAATCGCAGCTGCAACGGCAATGGCAACGGCAACGGGAGCACAACAAACAAAAATGCTAACAAGAATGCCGTCCAGGTGAACCGCGGAGCTTCTTGCCTGGCTGTTGTTAAAAATTTCATGTTAATGGCCACACGAAGCTCCGCTCTTAACCCTTTGCTGTGGGGTCGCACACATGTGGGGCTGTCTGTCGTTGGGCGTCTCTGTGTGTGTGTGTGTGTGTGTGCTTAACGGGGTCATTGTGCTGCCATATTTCGGTCGCACCTTTATGTTACGCAGCTTATTTCCCTTTACTCTCCCTTGCAAATTTAATTTCAGCTCGTGCACACGCTGCGAGTGCGGCTGAGCTAAACCGAAGCCGCAGTAAATCTGACCCAGCCATAGCAGAGAGGAAATTACTTTAATTAAGGATATCTTATGAAATGCTTTCTCATATTTATAACCCCCTCGATAGGACAGCAGCTGAGGCCGCTGCTAGAAAAAACAAAAAGAAAGAGGGGAAAAGGTGCACAATCAAAGACGTAGCATCGTTGGAAAAGAATAAAATCACAACAACAAAGCGGCTATAGCGAAAAGATAGCACAGCGAGTGCAGAGAGAGGGAGAGGGAGAGAGAGCTCCGCAGCGAAACGACAAAATATAATAGGGAGCAAGTGCTGAGCGAGTTGGGGACATAATGCGATTTCCTTGCCGAACTCTCGGCTGTCTCCTGCTCCTGCTGCTGCTCCTGCTGCTGTCACCTAACGACCGAGTCCACAAAGGTGACCAACTGGTCGGGCATTGTTTTAGCGGCCTTTGCTGGGCTTTTAGCTTTGCTTGTGCCTTTCGCTTTGCCTTTGGCTTTTTCTACTTTTTTTCTCCCATTGTTTTTGCTAGTGGTTAAAGCACTCTACTCGCCGCTGTTGTTGTTGTTGTTGATATCTGTTGTTGTTTAGCTTTGACTGTTTGCAATCTGTCGAGCTTCAGCTGCTAGTTTGCCTGCCTGTCAAAGCCCGCAGCCCTTTGCAAGGATAATCAGATAAAAGCTTTAGTGCCACATGGCCATGTGCGAAGTTAGCTGATGGCGAGAATAGAAGTTGCAGCAACGGCTGATTGAATTAGGCACAGTTTCAGTGCAACTCAATAAGTTGGGCATGCAAAGGCACCTCTTACCGGGGCCAACTGACGCCGAGCAATTCATTTTCAAGCACGTACGGCCAAGTCATCTGACGCAAGCAGCCAATAAAAACATGCAGCAGCACACGGATGCAGGCAACACAGGAGGACGCTAAAAATAACACAAGCAACATTTGTTATTGTTTTTGTTGTTGTTTGCGCAATGCTCGCTTTGAGTGCTGCATAAATGTTCATGAGTGCTCATGAAATATAGAAATGTTTATGAATACCAAACGCTACTAACTTCATTTGCATAATCCCAGTGTTTGTCAAACAACTAGCAAGTGTCACCTATCATATACATGTACATGCATGACATTTGACGCATAGAGAATGCGAAGCACAACAGCAACACTAACAGCAACAGCAACATCGAATTTTTAAGGCGTCTCTTCTGCAAATGTATCGCAAAAGGATCTCTGCTTAGATGAACCATGAATGCCCCAACATGTGGGGCCACGACTGCGCTGGCATATGAAACTTTTGAATGTTACATAATTTATGCAGCACATTTGACAGCTGCTTAGATACACGACAATTTCTTAGTGTCCTTTTAGATAGGTTTATAGAGTGTTTTAGCTGTTTTGATAATTATTATTCATAAGACTATATATTCATTAGTTTGCATTTATTATTTTGTTTGTAGTTATTTATTTTATTGTATTATATTAAATTAATAAATTTAAGTTTACTATAATTAATATTTTATTATTATTAGTATTAGTATTATTTTGTTGACTTTTCTATTATTAAGACAGTCCGTACATCAATTTTATTATAATATTTTATTTAATTAATTTAATGTCATTGTTTGCATTTAAGGAAAGAAACAACTGAGCACAGATGAGAAATACAAATACTATATAAATACGTGATCTTACATATACCTAAAAGATATATTAGATCTATTTATAGTTGAATGCATTTATTTATTGTCTTAGAGTCTTCAGGTAGCCCTTGCTCTAGCTCTATTTATATGCTAAATATAAAACTATATTAAAAATATGAAACTATATAAAAGATATATTAGATTTATATATAGTTAGTTGAATTTATTTATTTTAGCTTATTGTCTTAGAGTCTTCAGGTATCCTTAATTCTAGTTCTATTTATATATTATATATAAAACTATATTAAATGTGTCAAAAATTCGGGCTTTATTACTAAAAGCTGATTGAGTTTAGGACTGACAAGATTCTTCACGTTAAGTATAAATATATATATATATATATATATTGTAGAATATACATATACAAATAATAAATAAACTTCTTTCTTTTGTGCGTTTCTTCCAAGAATTCTCAACTGGGACAGAAAAATATCCCTGGGTGCTGTGCAAGGCGAAATGGGGTGTGGCATTGCTAAGCTCTTAATGCCAACGCACGCAGTGCAGTCGGGGTGCCTGCGTCTTCAGTGTACACGTGCACAGCCTGAACCCAGTTTATTGTTATCGTTATCGCTATCGTTATCGTCTTGCCCCGACACTCTGCACGTCGCAGCCAACTGGCAGTTTGTGCATATTTTATTGCGTCCGCTTCCTGTTGCCGTTTCTGCTGCATACTTTCTGGCTAATTCGTGCTTCACATTACATATATAGAGTATGTATGTTTGTATTTATATATAATTTCCATTTTGCATTTTTTTGTTGGCCATTGTTATTGCTGCAGCCTCAGCAGTTGGCCTGCATTTTTATTGCAAATTGTTTATGGAACAGCAAGAACTGAAGCAGCAGCAGCAGCAGCAGCAGCAGCAGCAGCAGCAGAGAGGAGTCAAGGGCTGGCCGTCTTATCGAGCGGCAACTGTTTCCTTGGCTGCTTTGCATTAATTGCCACTCTACGCAGGCTTTGGGTGATTTATGAGCGCAGCTTAGCACTGGCCACTTTGGCAAATATAAATACCAATACACACACACACACACACACATACACACACTCGACTTGGTCAAGTGCTGGAAATTTATAACACGAATCCGCTTGCCAAACAAGAAATTAAAACTTTTTGACCCGCACACACAAACTTTCTGCACACGCATGTGGCGCACTGTCAAATTTATTAAACTAACTGCAAATTAGTGCAGAATCACACACACACACATACACAGAGAGAGTGCGCACATGTGTGTGCCAAAATTTAGTGCAGAGGGAAAAAAAGGCAACTGCAACATAAATCAAGGCGCCTGCAGCAGGCCAATTCTTAAATAATGTTGCCAATTGGCTAAATACTTTCGTCAGTCTGCAACGCCCCCCGCCCCCTGGGGGCCACCCAGCCAATGTGAAAACAAAAGTAACGCAGTGACAATGCTTCCGCACTTTCTTTCGACGTTTTCCATTTAAGTTTTATTTCATTTCTATTTTTTCCATTTTCCCTTTTTTTTTTGTCGGCAATTGTAAAACAATTGTTATAAATTTAATGCGCATTTTTTTGGTGGCAGTTGCTGCGCTTGACAAATGCAGACAATTAGCTAAATGCTTCACTGGCGCCAACAGACGCCAACTGCCAGACGAGCGAGCGAGCAGCTTCAGTTGCAGCGCCCGCTCGTCCGTCCCTCCGCCTGTCCAAAGGGACTCGAGTCAGTCGCTGCTCCCTTTTTGACACGCGTCCAAATTAGTTGCGAGCAGCAGTTGCAGCCCTCCGCTGGAATAGCCGAATTCTATTAATTGCGCCCGACTGCACGGCAGAGCGATAATCAAGGCTCCAAGGTGCTGCCTGGCTCAAATAATTAATGCGTTCCCAGCTGTTGGCCTTGGCAGTGGCCTGGCGCAGGGGACGGGAGGATTGTAGAATAAGCCGCAAGACAGGAAAGCATTTTTCCACAAATTCAGGGCAAGACATCACAAATATTTCTCAATGCGTCGCTCTTTGCAAGTATTTTGGCAAAGCCACATTGTTATGAACATGTTTTGGATTTGGTATGCTTATGTGTGCGTGTGTGTGCGTGCGTGTGTGTGTTGCACTTGCAAATCCCCTTGGCGCATTGTTATTTCCGCATTACACAAAGAGGGCATTGAGCAACAAGCGGAAATGGCTTAAAGGATATTGCAATTTCATTTTTTTTTATCTTCTTT